ATATCATGGGAGAAATGCTTTTAGGTGGTAGTCTTTCCCCATTGTGCCTTTGTGATGGCTGTCCCAAGCTTTAATGTGTCCTTCAGCACATGGTCCTGGATCGTGAAATGTGCCAGTCTGCAACACACAGTTGAGGTCAACTCTTTGCACCAAAGATCAACAAGTTTCAGGCAGAACAAAGAACGTCTTTCACTGAGTCGATCGTCCCTCCAGGTACAGTCAATGTTTGTCTTTGTGTGCATCCATGGTAACAGCCAGCAGAGTACAAAATTCTGCATCAAAGTCTTGCTTGGAGTAAACTTTGATATAAACCACTGCATCTCTCCAGATCTTTTTAGCAAAAACACATTCTAGGAGGGGACGTGAGACGGTCTCTTCACCACTGCAGCAGTCTCTAAAGTGGCAGAGAGAGGTCATGTGTGCATTTTTTGATCTGATGGATAAGATCAAGCTGTGTCTTGGTTAGAAAGTTCTGGTGATGTGGCATCCTGCCAAATAACTTGTGACAGTCTAGTCAGGGAACCATCTGACAGGATTGACCTTCTCCTTTCCCTGCAATGCATCGAGAGCATTGTGTTGACCACAGTCTGATGGACTTATGGTCAGAGATGTCATTCCATCCAATCTACTCCACAAAGGACAAGTGAAATGGTACAGTCCAACTTATTAGAGTGCTCTGAAGCTATGTGACCGGACCCATCTTTCATAACGCCCAGGAAAGGTAGAACCTCAGCACATAGTAACATTGGGTGTTTACATACCAAGGGTGTATGCACAGCATGATGGAACTGCACACAGGAGGATAATGCTGGGTCCATTCTCTCCTCCCCACCCCACTCCATCTCATCCCACCCTACCCACTCTCTGTCACCCTTCCCCTCTCTTTTCCCCCTCCCTATCTCTCTCTACTACTGTTGCAAAGGAATCTCTGAGAGTGAAAGCCATTCAGACTGAAATTTCCTCTGCTATCTGACGGATCTGAGTCAGGTTAGAGCACAGGACAGTTGTTTTTAAAAGATATTTGAATTCCCAGTAACCAGCTCAAAGCCGTCACCATAAGGTTCAAGTTTTAAGACTTTATCTAACAGCACCATCAACTAAATATTACTGAATAGGCAGCCAACACTCTCATTATGACCGATAACACTATCCACATTTTATACATTACAACATTCTCTCCACAGGATTCTACACTTTACAGGAACCACTACAGAATCACTCTCCATTTCCAATGGGTTGACCCCCCTGCAATTTTACCACGTAACATCTTCTGCAGTCTGTTTTAAATGGGTGATCCTGATTTTTAAACAGTGACCTGTAGTTCTAGATTCTCCCATAAGCGGAAATATCCTCTCCAATCTACTCTGTCATGACCCCTCAGGTTCTTCAATGTTTCAATCAAACTGCCTGTTACTCTTCTAAATTCCAGCAGGTACAAGCTTAGCCTGTCCAATCATTACTCATAAAGCAACTTTCAGGTATTAGTATAGCAAACCCTCTGAGTTGCTTCCAACATACTTGCATCCTTCTGACCTTAAAAAGGTTACTGATACTGTACAAAGTACTCCGGATGTGGTATCAACCAATGCTCAATATAACTGAAGCATAATCTTCCTACTTATGTATTCAGTTCCCCTCATGATAGATGAGAACATTTTATGAGCTTTCTTAATTGCAATACTTGTTGTACCTTTTGTATTTCATACACTAGGACTTTGATTCCTCTGCACCTCAAGGCTCTCCAATTTCATCATTTAGATAGCATATTTTTTATTCATCCAATCAAATGAACTACTTCACATTTTTCCTCCATATTACTCCATTTGACATTCTCTTGTGTCTTCCTTGCATCCTCTACACTACTTACTCTCCCACTTGTCATTGTATCATTGGCAAATTTGGCACCATACCTTCTGTCACTTCATCCAAGTTGTTATATAAATTGTAAATGATGCAAGCACCCATCCCTATGGCATACCACTTGTTACATCTTGCCAACCTGAAAAAGACTTATTAGACTTATTCTCTGCTTCATATCTAGCCAATCTTCTTTCCATGCCAATACACTACCCTCTACACCATGAGTTTTAATTTTCCAAAATATCTTTTTAATGGGGAACTTTATCAAATGCCTTCTGAAAATCTAAGTCCAGTGTATTCACCGGTTCCTCTTTATCCGTGGAACAGGTTACTTCCTCAACGAACTCTAGTCGATTGGTTCAACATGATTTCCCTTTTGCGAAACCATATTAACTCTGTCTGATTATCTTGAACTTACCTAAATCTCTGACAATTTCCTCTTGCTCACTAAATAAACTGGTTGGTAGGGAGGAAATCCTGTGCCTTTCCTGGGTCAGTACCCCCTTGGACTCTGAAAACTGTACTCTAGTACTCATTCATAGCCATAACTCCACATTTTTCGAAACAGCTAGCTTAACCAACTAGATCTTTCTTTGTATTTTTGTCCCTCAACTCCTATCTTGTTCAGCTGCAGCAAGTGGACCCTGCTTGTGGCATTTCAACCCCCTGTAAAGATCATGTCTTTTTTTTAATTTTTCTACGTATTTGATCGTGGACTGAAGTGGGAAAGGGACTGGTTTAGAAGCTAAGGATTGTTGTAGAATTTTTGCACTTTTTAAATAGCAAGTTTCCCACAATCATTGTAAGTGCTGTTAAAATAGTTGTTGGTTTAAACAGCAGGGGATACCTAATTAGAGGTAAGCTGGTCTCCAGGGCTGTGAGAATGAAGATTTGACCAGCAACAAGTAGCTGATTGGATCATAGTCTAGTTTCAGTTATCGATTAAAAAGGGCATCATGTCTGCTGTCAACTGGGTGATCAGCTCCCAGGTAGCTGCAGCAATTGGACCTCTGGAAGGGAAGGAGATGTGTTTCTGCTGTGCAGTATGAAGCATCTGAAGCCTGAACATAGCAACTAAAAGGGAAAAATAAGTTGACTGTAGTCTGTCACTTCTAATTAACAGGTCAGAAGCAGTCAACCTGCTCCTCCTGCAAACAAGCAGAAGTACCACGACATGGAAGATTGAAAAACAGTGTTTTGATCAGCAAACCTTGTTTGGGACAGGGACCAATGAACTGCCTTTCCTGTCTACCCTTCCACCCACAACACCAATTTATTTTGTCTGTTTGTACATGTGTGTAGAGGTTGAGTTTTAGAAGTGGGTTAGAGTTTTAACTAGTAGTTATACATCAACAGTTCATGCTTGTTTATTTGTAGTTAAAACCTATTTATTTGCAATAAATAGTGACTCTTGTTAAGTACAAAAACTGGTCTATGCTTTCTGTTAACCTGGCTCTAAAAGACAGCAAATTGGGAAATATTGTGTACTTTTTAAAATTTTTAACTATTGTGACAACTCTGGGGAATTTTGTTTTTTTTTTACTTACTTTGCTGTCCAAGCTGTGGACAAGTTTCAGCAGTGGCGAGAGCTCAGGGTGCGGACCTCAAGCAGTCTCGAGCTGGGCCCAGGGTGCGGACCTCAAGCAGTCTCGAGCTGCACCCAGGGTGCAGACCTTGAGCGGGCCCAGTGTGAAGGAGACTGAGCCCCTACTTACTTTTCCAGAGCAAGCACAGGACCTGGAATCGGCGGCTGCTATGCCAGCAGAGGCGACGGCAGCAAGCTAGGCCCAGCAGTCTGAGAATTGGTGGCTTTGTTGGTTGAGTCCAGTGCTGGCGGCAGTGAAGCAATGGCAGAAGCGCATCACAGCAACATCAATGAGATGGGCCCAGTGGTGAGAAACATGCTTCTGACATCGGGTTGGTGCAGGTGCCAGCGAGGTGGTGACGGAGGAATCTTGACCCAGTGGCAAAGATGGCACCTGAGGATCAGTGGCTTCTGTTTGTTGGGTCCAGTGTAGACGGCTGCGAAGCAGTGGTGGAGGGATGGCAGCGCATCGTTGACAGTGATGAGCTGGCTCGGGACTGATGGACTGTCTTCAAGCGATATCTTCTTTTCCTTATTGTTAAATTATTCAACACGGTGCCATTTCACTGGGGACAAATGAAAGCTTTTCACTGTATTTTGTTATATTCTTACTGTAAAATGCACGTGAAAAAATCAAAATCAAAAGGGTATGATTTCCAGCATGCTATCCTGGTGAGGCCTAACACCCTACTCTTAACTCTACTGACCTGTTCCTGTCACCCAGCTTCTTATGAGCCACCACAACTTCCAGGATTTTCCTAAACCCTGGTTGCAACACCTAGTTGCCTAATAACTTCTGGAATATGGCTTACTGCTCTTGGGACTTTCCCTTCAGTCCCCTACACAGAACCATTGGAGTTCAGTGGTCTTCCCTACCATACAGCTAAAAATAGCACTTCGAACATGAGTACATAGTCACACAGTGCTCATATTTACCAACCTTTAATCCCTGTCTTGTAATCTTTTGAACTGGTCTTCAGTGACCCTCGAACTGTCCTGAGTGAGCCACTGAAAACCTTGCAATAGGCCCCCCACTATTGCTGGATGGAATTGAATATTGCATCTAACAATTCTTGGAATTGAGTGTGCAGATATGTTACATTTCACAACACGCTGGCTTATTCAGCACCATAAAAGTGATATAAAGAGAGGATTGCATCACACCAATTGTGGAAATATTTCTCTTTCTTGGGTGAAAGTGGTGAGTTTTCATGCATCCCCCAAGTCAATTTGAATTTGTCAGTGTTTGCCCACTGACACAATGGGCTGTTTGCAACATTCTGCACCCATCGACAATATTTGCTGCGCCACTTAAATTACCGCAGCAAACCTTCTCACTACTGTCTCTGTTGTAGAGTCATACAGCGCAGAAGAGGCCCATTGCCCCATCTAGTCTGCGCTGACCTATCTACACTAATCCCACATTCCAGCAATAAGCCTTGAATGTTATAACATTTCAAGTTTCAACATTTCCATTTTTTTTTTTAAATGTTGTGATATGTGTAACATGGTGCTCCTGAAAGTTGTAAGGTTGAAGTCTTTCTTTTCTCTGCAGGTAAATAAGTGTGAGCAGTAAGAAGATGCTGAACTCTGACGTAGAGGTCGTGGAGGATTGGCTTTCCCAGTTCAAGGTAATGCTACTATAACTGTGCACTGCAACAGGCCTAGGCTAATTGCAGTTTGTCCAAATTGTGCTGGGAATGCTGTCCAGTGTATTGAAAATGTTTATCCGGTTACACTGTTCACACCTGCACACCCACATGCACGTGCACACATCCATGCACACATCCATACACACATCTCAACATGCACAGCCCCCACCTCCACATCACATACACTGCCACATCAATCCACTCACATGCATAAGCATACTGTGCATGCACTCACATATAGTGCAGACGTGCACATGCACAAGTACGTTTTACATCTGCACATGCTACAACTATATACACATGCATATACTTGCATGTGACCACACATACATTTACAATTGCACATGCAGACACAGGCCCGCACAGATGTGCAGATCTGTAGATGCATGTGCAAATCTGCGAATCTATCCATGTACTCATCTGCATACAGGTACATGAAGGAGCACACGTACTCACATGTGCAAGTGGCGCACAGTCCACATTTGACTACACATCCACGCATAAACACAAACCCATCTGCCACTGTATCCTCAAATATACAAGTATGCACATGTGCACCACATGCATACAGACTCCTGCATAGGCATCCGCATGTGTATGCACACATCAACAGGCAGACAAAAGTGCATATTTATACATAAGTGCATGCATAGGCTTACACACACAGACGGACACACACACACAATATAGCTACTGATGCCCAATGTTGTCTGTGTTCACCATTTTTCCACCTTGGGGTTTTAGCAGATTTGGTAACCTCTCCCTTTTCCCTCACTGTTGTACAGACTTTGCCTGAATCTCAGCTATCCTGTTATGCAGCAACCCTTCAGCAGAAGACAGATATTGTGCCGGCTCTCTACAAGGTCATCCAGGATCCTAACAATGACGTAAGACGTCTGCAGCTAGTGTGTCCTATTAGTTCAAGGAGGTGAAGCTCTCAATCTGTAATGGATACTGGTGGTCAGGATCCTGACCCGCTCTAACTGTGCTGAAGCCTTGGCTGATGAAGTGGTGACCTGCACGTTGTGTGCACTGTAGCTTCCTGGAGTTATCCTGCTTGCATTGACCATCATTTTCTGATTTTCAGGTTATATTTGATGTAGGTTTTAAATAATAAGGTCATTAAGTGATGAGAAGGAATTTAATGAATTCATAATTCTAGCATATCTTGTTAAACTTTGCAGCGGAGTCGGTTGTGACTAATATAATGAAAAGTAATTACCTTGGAGGCCAAGGAGTTTGTGTGGGAAATTTTAAGTTGTTTAACTTTTAGAATTGGAAAACAGTGGAGTAGTGGTCCTATCACTGGACTAGTAATCCAGAGGCTCTGGGGACATTAGTTCAAATCCCACTGGTGGAATTTAAATTCACTTCATAAATTTGGAGTCTAAAGCTAACTATCAGTAATGGCGATCAGGGCAACTATCATTGATTATTGCAAAAACCCACTTGGTTCATCAATGCCCTTTAGGAAGGAAATCTGCCATTCTTGCCCACTCTGACCTACATATGACTCCAGGAGCACAGTTGACTCTGAGCTGCTTCACTGCAATGGCCTAAAAAGCATCTGACTTCAAGGGGTGGACAACAAATGCCAGCCTTGCTAGCTACACCCAAGTCCCTGAAAAGAAAATCCAGAAAAAATGCCCAGTACACAGGTATTTGATGAATTTGATTAAGCCACTTGCACCACGTGCCAAGAGAGAGGGGGATCTTCAGTGTAGTTTCATGGCCTGAAATCCATGCAGTGATGGCAATCCTCCCTGGCACATTTCCACATCTCCTGCTTGGTGCATTGCTGCTGTGAAGCTGTTATGACATTTCCTGTTTCTACCTCTGCTGCATAACTCTGTCCCCACAGTTACTGGAACCTGTCTGTCACCAGCTGTTTGAGTTGTATCGAAGCTCGGAGGTGAGGTTGAAGAGATTCACGCTGCAGTTTCTGCCCGAATTGATCTGGAGATATCTGTGCATTACAGCAAGCAGAGAGAGACAGAGCAATGGCTGCATTGAAGCTCTGCTTCTAGGGATCTACAATCTGGTAGGTTGTGTGTTCCATCTGTCTATCTCCATGTGCCAGAGGGATGGGCTTTAATGAGAACATTAATGATCAGAGTGTCAGGATTTGCTCTTTCTCATTTTTTGTCAGTTTTTTTTTCATTCATTCACAGAATGTGAGAATCACTGGCTGGGCCGGTGTTTATTATCCATCCCTGACTGCCCTTCCTGAACTGCTGCAAACCGTCTGTTCCCATTACACCTACAGCACTGTTAGGAAGGCATAATGATGTAGCAACATGAAAGGATAAATAATATCGTTCCAAGTTAGGATGGTGCGTGCATCAGAGGGTGACATGCAGGTGGTGGTGTATGTCATTGTAGGTGCAGCCAGGCCTGCTAACCTGGGCCTAGAACACGTACACAAAATGTATCATCTTTAATAACCTACAGAATACAGATTGCCACAATTCTCTCAAAAACTTTTGTGTCGGAAAAAACATCTGATACCTGAACATTTGTAAACAAAATATAGAGAACTGCTGGCACTTAAATAATTAATAGCATTAAATATGAATAGAATGCCACCGTGTAGGCAGATGCACTGAAATGAACATTCAGGGCAGGCTGTAACAAGGCACAGTTGTTAATTACTGCTGATTGGGGTTTGATGTGGGGTCAGTTGCCGCTGCCTTACCCTTTTGTCAGGACCTCTGATTCAGTGTCAGCGATGCCACAGCAGGTGTGAACGGTACAGCTACAAGCGACACCAATCCTGCCAGCGGGGAAAGGATCAGCAATGACAGGTTCCAGACTTGAGTGAGCAATTCTCACTTCTGAGGCTTCTGCCACATCTGGTTAGTGAGAGAGATTTATAGGATGCAGTTTCCTCTCTCCCGCGCTTAAGTTCATCGCTGTCCTTCACAGGGTCAGCGTATAGCCAGCTGTCACCTCCCTGCTCGTTCCTGCACACCAAGGCAACCAAAGCCTTCGCACTTCAACAGTTTGAACATTGCACCGTCTGTAGCTCGTGTTTGAGCAGGGTGTATTCAATGTACAATACTGTATCCTGTAGCTCTGCTGTGAATAGGATGTATAGTAATGTCCAGTAATGGTAATGTTGCCATAGTTGTGCTGGACCTAGGGTTGCTGTCTCATTAGAGAGAGAGACATGATTGGTGGTGAGTTTAACCTGAGGGTCACCACACCTCTGGCGAGGGGGAAGGTTGAGAACGTGGGACCTTTTGTGGTAACCTCAGCAGTGTCCTGTAGCACCAGCGTGAATGGTATACTGTCAGTGTATGGTACAGTTCCTGTAACACCATTACACCTACAGCTGTCCATCTCAGGCACAGCATCATCAGTTATGAACGTATAGGCCATACCATGTGTTATGTATCACCAGATAAGAGGAGGTCCATAGTCTTTGGTCATACACAGATCTCAAATACTTCTTCTTTTATAATGTCACAAGGCATCTTCCAATTCAGTCTCTTACAGTAGAAAAACTTGATTCATTTTCTGTTACAGTACAAAAGCAAATTGATTTACAGCCTGTTACAGAAGTAAATGATTTACTGTCTGTTACAATGCAGAAATAAATCAGTTCACTGTCTGTTACAGTACAGAAACAAATTTACAGTCTGTTACAATAGAGAAGCAAATGACTCACTGTATGTTACAATACAGAAACAAATTAATTCACAGCCTGTTACAATACAGAAGGAAATGATTCACTGTTATAGTACAGAAATAAATTGATACACTCTGTTACAGTAAAAAATCATTGTAACAGGCTGTGAATCAATACAGAAACAAGTGATTCACTTGTTACAGCATAGAAACAAATGTATTCACAGTCTATTACAGTAGAAACAAATTATTCACCATGTCTTTGCTCCTTCCTTTTGCCCCTCTATTTTGCACCCACCCCATCTTGTTCAGAGAGCTTGAGCGATTGCATTATTGAGTCCCCAGTTATATTCTGTGTAAATTAATAGGACCTAAGTTTTTGCTCCCTGCATCCAACCCCTCCCCAACACAATGCTGTGATTTGGCCATGTTTGCTTGTTTAGACTTACAAAAGATTGCTGTAAATACATTGTTAAAGCTAAGGTTCTGAGGAAGGAGAGAGGTTGTGTCACGGATAATGAATGATTTGTGAGGCCAGTGTTTTGCTGAAAGGCTGTTGTCCACTTGAGTATGATTAGGCTCAAAGTTGAGGTTTAAAATGATTTAAATGTCTGAGTCATTAAGCAGCTTGAGAAATGACTCGAGGCCATTGGTTGCCAGGGATTATACTGCCCCGTGACTAACTGTCCTGCCAGAGATTTCAGGGCTCTGTGCTCAGAGGTTGAGAGCCAAAGTTTATAAACCTGGGAAACCAGCATGGGTATCAGTCTTTTGATCAGAAAAGCTGCTCTGAATTGTGTTGCTTTTAGAAAGCCTACAGCACCCAGTCCTGTTAGGAGTATGCACAGCGAGGTAACACGAGGAAGCATTCCTGACTCCATTTTTAAAGAATAGCCTGTCACCGTGTAACTGCCTCCCCCACCAATCTCAGCAAGTGTACATAATTCCACAACATCCCACCCCCAACCCATTAACTGCAATCCTGAATGGTCATTTCTCATTACAATAACCCTTTGCTGCATGTGCAGTAAGGAGTATGAATTCATACTGTGCTTTTCAACTTCAGCGCAGACCCCCCCCCCCAGCCACTGTGTAATTCCCTATAGGAAACATGATGCAGCTTATGCACAAAGATCCCTGAAACAGCAACATGGAAAATAACCAGTTGTTCTGTATTAGTGATATTGGTTGATTGATATGACTCCAAGGAGAACGCTTGCTCCTCTTTGCACAGTGACTATGAGATCGTTTATGGCCTGCCTGCAGACAGACAAAGCCTTGGTGTTTCAGATCATTCCACTGTCTCGATGCTGCACTGGAGCGTCTGCCTCAATTATGTGCTCAAGTCTCTAGAGAGCAATACAAATCTACAATATTGACTCTGAAGCAAGTTTGCTACCACTGATCAATTACCAATGTCCAAAATGATGAACAGGGAAACTTAGAAGAAGTATTCTAAGAGGGGTGTTAGAATAGTGAATGCTTCATCTCGAGGCTACTACTAACGTAGTCAGAGCGTCTTAGAAAATTGTTTGAAAAAAGAAAAATAATTGGCATCACTCTTGCGTCAATGGTCTCTGTATAGTCTCCTACATCTCATGTTGTTGTTATGTTGGCTGTGGCACCCTTGCACAGACATCTGACAGTTGCAACGGTTCTATGCGAATTTAATGTGCCACTCTGGTGAGATCACACCATCAGACTAGCGCAGTTCCACAACTGGTGCTTGTCCTCAGGATTAACATGAGGCCTTTCTTTCCATGATTTAAAATCTGAAGTTCCAGTATCCAAGTCACGGTATGGGCGTCAACAATAACAAAAACAGAAATTGCCGGAAAAGCTCAGCAGATCTAGCAGCATCTGCGAGGAGAAATTAGAGTTAATGTTTCGGGTCTGGTGACCCTTCTGATTTACAGCATCCGCAGTTCTTTTGGCTTTCGCAGTATGGATGTTGCTGCTTGTTTTACTCACTGAACGGGGAGTAATGGTATTCACAGGTTCTCAGGTAACCATGAACACAAACTGTCCAACTCTCTCTCTCAAAGGTGGATGTCCCATACTGTCCATTGCTGGTTCAAATATATTGAGTACCATGTTAGCCATCAGTTAGTCCTTCCTTTAGTAAAGCTTTGACGTGGTTTTACGTTCCCAATCTTCCTGTCGTTCACCCTCTTTCTCGCTCAATGCTTTAGCTCTATCACTGTACTTTTCATTCATCTTTTCCATTTCTCCTTCACCCCATGTTACTCTCTTTACATCAGTCTCAATTCTTCAAGGTACATATTCCAGTTTGAGGTGGACAAGGTTTGGACATTTGCGACAAGGATCAGATGTTATTTTTATTCATTCATAGAATGTGAGCATCAGAAACAAGACTGGCAATTATTGTCCCTCTTTTAATTAGACAGATGGTTGGTTGGTTTATTGAGCAATTGTCATAGCAGCAAGTGAAGAATTGTGATAATACAATAAAACAGACCAGACCCATTTTCTCCTTTTCATACCTTCGTGTACACCTATTTTATATCTCTATCCCTCCTTGCCACTATTGGGCACTCCCTTTGACTTTTGCTCTGGACACGCTCATCATGTGTTCCACTTGATCCTCCTCCCCTTCTGTCAACAGCATAAAAGACACCATATTCCTGCCCATTGTGTCGTATTGGATTCAAGCCTTAATTGTATTTCTCTCTGCACAGATGCTGCCATACCTGTTGAGTGTCTGTCGTATTTTGCTTCCATTTATAATCATAATTCATACGATAATTATTGTCATTCAAATAAAAAGTATAAAACCACTTTAAAAAAGATTGTGCAATTATGATCTATTCATTATATAAGTAGTTACAACGTTGGCAAACCGCAGGTGCCCTTAATCTGCAGAATAAAAATGAAGGGTCAACTTCTCTTTATGTTTTGCATTTAAGCCTCGATCATTAACTACTGTCAAGGAGAGTTGGTCAGCTACTTTCTTGAACTGCTGCAATCCATGTTTGTTATGATTCTGGTTTTTTTAAAAAAAAAAAGAAATTCAATATTTACTAAAAGAACGAAGCCACAAAATTCCACAATTCAAATAAAAACTCAATAAAACAAATGCTAAATCCTTTCTAACCTATACCCAAAATACAGAATTAGCATAAGTTAAACATGATTGATCATACAAACATGCACATAAACAAAAAAAAATTAGGAGCAGGAGTAGACCATTCAGCCCATCATCTCCACCAGTTGATAAAATCATGATTGATCGGATTGTCACCTCAACTTCACTCTCCTGCCTACTCTCAGAATCCTTTCACTCCCTTTATAGAGGTTTTTAAAATCATGAAGGCAATAGGTAAAGTGAATAGCAGGTGTCTTTTCCCTAAGGTGGAGGATTTTAAGACTAGAAGTCATATTTTTAAAGTGAGAGGAGAAAAATTTAAAAAGACATGAGGGGCAACTTTTTTATACAGCGTGGTTCACATGTGGAATGAACTTTCAGAGGAAGTAGTGGATGAAGGTACACTTACAACATTTAAAAGACATTTGGATAAGTGCATGAAAAATAAATTTTTGAAAGGTTATGGGCCAAGCACAGGCAGGTGGAACTGGTTTAGTTTGGGATTATGGTCAGCATGGACTGGTTGGACTGAAGGGTCTTTTTCCGTGCTGTATAACTCAATGACTCTGCCTGAAAAGTATTCAATGATCTAGCCTCCTCCACTCTCTAGGGAAGAGAGTTCCACAGACTCTCAAACCTCTAAAAGGTAAAAATTCTCATCTTTATTTTAACTGGGAGACTCCTCCTAATACAGTGTCCTCTAGTTCTAGTCTCTCCCACAACAGGAAACACCTTTCAGTATCTATGCTGTCAAGTCCCTACAGGATCTTATGTTTCAATTTTCATTCTTGTAAATTCCAAAGGGACATAGGCCCAATCTACTTAACCTCATGAAATAACCCCTTCAACTGAGGAATGAGTCAAGTGAAAATTCTGTGAGCTGCTTAATTCAATTACACCCTTCCTTAAATAAGCTGATCAAAATTGTACTTGGTACTGTAAATGTAGTTTCATTAATGACCTTTAAACTGTAACAAACTTTCCCACTTTAATGTTCTGTTTGCCTTGCAACAAACAACAGCTTTCCACTTGCCTTCACCAATAAGTTGCTGCACTTCTGTAATCACATTTTGTGGTTCACTTCGGAGGAGAGTTCTGGCCTCATTTAACCTCTCTTCATTTAAATAATATGCAGCCTTTCTATTCTTCTTGCTAAAGTGGACAATTTTCTCCCACAATATTCCATCTGCCAAACAGTGGCCATCCATCTAACTACCTATATCCTTTTGCTGACTCATTATATCCTCTTCATAACTTATTTTCTCATCTATCTTTGTGCCATCAACAAATATAGCAACCATACTTTCAGTCCAGTCATTGATACAGATTGTAAATGATTGAGGCTCCAGCACTGATCCCTATGGCACTCCATTTGTTACATTTTGTCAACCTGAAAATCACACATTTATGCCTACCCTTGTTTCTCATTGCTTAACTAGTCCTATTGACAGGCACATTGTTGCTGAATATGCACTATGTATTGCACATTAAATGGTAGGTACAGCTAAGACACATCTTCTGTTTAGGCTGTGCAGTCAGCTCACATTTTGCTGATCTCATTCGGTCACAAAGTCCTTCAAACTCTCTTAAGAAATTCTGAGCCCTAGCCCACAGCAACAAGCAACCAACCCGGGTTCCATGGGCACAATCTTCACCACAAAAGGCACACACATACAGAACCCGCTAAAAGTGCTCTGGATGAGGTAGATCCACCAATGCTGTCTCCAAGTAATAGAAGTTGCAGTAACCTGTTGGAGCTTCTGGATCTAGACTTTGACTTATTAAGTCTTTTCTGTTCTCCTTCACTGGACTGATCAACTGCTATAACCCAGCTTAGATTGATCTGTGTCATTTTACATCTAACCAGGGTAATTTTTACCCCAAAATGTTTGGTTTCCAAATATTAGTTTGTTTATATTTCCTTAAAAACTGGGCATTACAGTTTCCTTTCTATGTTAACTTATGTTTCTCTTACTGATTTCTTTTTGTTTCAGTTTGTGTCTTAGTTAGGGCCTGCCTCAAAAAAAATGTAGGTTTTATTTAAAAAAACAGATTCCTTTACTATACGGGGTAGGTACGGTCAGGGTGTAGTCAGAGAGAGTTCCAGGACTTTAATCCAGCAACAATGAAGGAATGGCTGATGTAATTCTAAGCAGGATGGAGCGATGAGTTAGGGTGCCTGCAGGTTGAGATTGAGCTAGGCTGGGTTTGGGTTTAAGGTTCTTCTGAAGATTTGTAGCTCAGATTGTGGGTGAGGTTGTTGGCTGATTATCGTACAGATGTTTCGTCGCCATGCTAGATAACGTCATCAATGCGGCCTCCGATGAAGCAATACTGTTCTATTCTGCTCAGTATTTATATGATCCGGTCTGTTAAGTTGGGTTGTGTCATTTCGGGTTCTGTTCTGCATGGGTTTGTATATGGGATCTAATTCCACATGTTTGTTGATTGCATTACGGGTTGAAAACCAGGCCTCTAGGAATTCCCATGCGTGTCTGTGGTTGGCTTGAGCTAGGATGGTCACATTGTCCCAATTAAATTGATGGCCTTCATTATCTGAGTGCAGTGAGATGAGGGAAAGTTTATTGTGTCATTTTGCTGCTAGCTGGTGTTCATGTATCCTGATGGCTAGTTTCCTTCCGGACTGGCCAATGTAATGTTTGTTGCAGTCATTGCAAGGTACTTTGTAAACTATATTGGTCCTGCATGTCATGGGTATGGGGTCTTGGTCCTTGTGAGTGTTTGTTGTAGTGTGGCTGTGCATTTGTGTGCTCCCATGATTCCTAGTGGTCGTAGAAGTCTCATTGTCAGTTCTGATATGTTCTTGATATAGGATTATGTGGCCAGTGTCTTGGGTGTGGGTGGCTACTCACCAGTTGCATGGTTTCACACCATTGTGGCAGCTTGTGATCATCTCAAGGTTAATGAATGTTTAATGACACTGTTAGACAGGTTTCTAGGGTTTGTTAATTTGCTGCAGTCAGTGCAAGTACAGTCAAACCTGCATCTTTTAAATAATCAGAAAAATGACAAAGATAATAATGATTTTCTGATGAAGGGTCTAGGCCTGAAACGTCAGCCTTCCTGCTCCTATGATGCAGCTTGGCCTGCTGTGTTCATCCAGCTCTACACCTTGTTACCTAAGGTAATAATGAAATTGTTTTTGTGTGAAATTGGAGCTAATAACATGTCTTTGTTTTATTTTCCTCACAGGAGATAGTTGATAGAGATGGAAACAATAGAGTGTTGTCGTTCACAATCCCATCACTGTCCAAGCCATCAGTTTATCATGAGGTGAGTTCCTTTGTCTGTAGACATCATTCAATTCCTTTTGCGAATCCTTGGAGGTATCTGTAAACTGAGATTGTGATATTAATGCATCAGCTTCACTTTTAGTGAGATTTTCTGAGAAAATTGGCGAGTTACTTCGAATGAATGGCTGTTCTGTTCTTTAGCAGTGATGACCATCAAATCCCAATTTGTTCCTGACTAGTGCAGTGTTTACAGACCCCTGTCAGCTTTTGGAATCTCGGCAAACCCTGAGCTACAGGAAGACACAAAGTCTGGAAGGGCATCGAACCACTAATGTGTGCTTGGCAGCATGAGTGTGGAACAGCTATGGTCCTGCGTCTTGGGAATTCTGCAGACACTGTCTAGCTGGACAGCAGTGAGCTGCTGTGGAGGTGAAGAGGGTGGCGTGGGGTGAAGCTTCTTAGGAATTCATCCTAAATAGAGGAAGAGTAGCAAGTCCCGTTAGCCTGTTGAGCCTGTTCTGCTCTTCAATCGGTTCTCTGACTGAATTTCATTTGCTTGCGTTTTCCCCCTTAGCTTTTCATATTTTTGATTAAATCTATCTGTGTCAATTAAAACTAACAATTATTCAAGCATCAATTGCATCTGCAGAAGCAATATTAGACAGCAGCAGGTCAAGATTGCAGCTCACCACCGCTATATCAAAGCCAATTAGGATTGGACAATAAAAGCCAGTGGCACACAGTTCTGTGAATGGCAAATGGAGAGTTCGAAACTTTTACGTGTGTGAAAGTGTTTGTTCATTTCCTTCCTGTAATTTTAATTTAATTTTAGAATCTAGTCGCCCTACCTAGTGGGAATTGTTTCTCTCTGGCTAGCCTAAATATCATGAAAACATTGTCAATAACTTGTGGTTGAATACTTCTGTAAGATTACAACTGTCTTGTGACCAGGCAGAAACAAGCTAGAGCTGTGGAATGTGTACCATTTGATAAGGTTATTGAGATTAGGATAAGGTTTACCCCCCCACTAATAATAGGCATGACCTAACAAAATGTCTTTGAGTGTTACACAAGCTGGGACAAGGGGGTAATCCTAGAAATGATGCTGTATGAGATTAGTAAATGGCTGTCTATACATTTGTCTGCAATTTGAAGGTCAGTACTGATGTGGGGCTCTCCCTCCCTGAGCAAGGAGACTGTGGGTTCAAGTCCCACTCGAAAGACGTGAACATAGAGTCTAGGTTGACATTCGCAGTGTGGTATTCTATAGGAATAGGAACTGATAAAGGTGAGGCCTTGCAGATGAGACATTAAACTGAGACCCAGCCTGCCCTCCCAGCCGGATGTGGAAAATCCAATGATGCTACTTTGAAGAAGAGCAGGGGAGTTATGCCCAATGTTTACCCCTTAACCCACATCATTAGAAATGGATGATCTGTCTATCTCCAGGAACTTTGCGGATTCTTTCTGTGCACAAATTGGTCACTGAGTTTCCTGCATAGCAGTGGGAATTACACTTCAGGAGTACTTTGTTGGTTAGAAGGTGTTTTAGGGCATTCCAAGGGCAGTGTAAGATGGAATAGAAACATGCCTTTATTATCATTGCCGTGTTAGCGAAGTGCAGGTACTGGCAGTTGTCCAGCGTTGTACCTTTCTGGCAGTGTGTGGTCTTTGTTCCTCGGCCTTGCTTGTTTTCACCAATGGCTATTTCATTTGTGAACTCCCTTACTCCTCTTCAACTAGTGCCTTGGGTTTTTTTAAGGTCCACTTGAGAGGATAGATGTATCAGTTGACACCATTACCAAAAGGCGACACCTCTGACAGTGCAGCACACCCTCTGAGTACTGCACCAGGAATGTTGGCCTTGATTACGACTGCAGTCTCTGTGGAGTGCAACTTCACCCCATGAACCCCTGACTTGGAATGAGATTGCCAACACAGTGTGAAGGCAGAATTAGAGTTCTTAACAGCTTGGAAAAAGGCCCTTTGGCCCATCATGTCTGCAATGGTCATTAAATATCTATCTATTCTAATCCCATTTTCCAGCACTTGGCCCATAGTATGCTATGGCACTTCAAGTGCTCATTTCTACACAGGCAGTAACAGTGTCCAGCAGTTGAGGAGCTTAGCTATTTGTTATCTGTGCTCTCCTATCAATAAGCTATGACTCTGCAAGTGTCAGCCTTCAAAGAGAATGAACCTGAGGTGTTGGAAAATGATTAGGACACTAGAAGATTTTATTTTCATATCTTGGGATATGAACGTCACGGGTATGGCCAGAATTTATTGCTCATCCCTAGTTGGCCTGAGAAGTTTTATTTATCCAAGTGGCTCGTAGGCCCTTCCAGAAGGCTTAACAGTTGGCCACATTACTGTGAATCCTGAGTAAAGTGTCAGCCAAACCAGGTAAGGACATCAGATTTACTTTGCTGAAGGCCATTAATCAACTTGTTGGGTTGTTAGAAGAAGCTGCTAGTCTTGTGATCAGTATCGTGAGGACCAACTTATTTCTAGTGTTCTTTTTTAAATCCTCAAGCTGCCTGGGTATGATTTGTACATATGCTCTCCAAGTTGTTAGCGTAGTAATAATCAGGACACAGACCTCAGACAAATTTTGTGAAATTTTCTTGGCTTCTTTTGATGCAGCCATCAAGTATTGGCTCCATGGCCCTGACAGAAGGAGCACTAAGCCAGCACGATCTAATCCGAGTGGTGTACAGTGACCTTCACCCTCAGCGGGAGAACTTCACAGCTCAGAACAGGTACGTGAAGCAGCTTAAACCAGGTCTTCTGCTCTTGTCCCTTCCGTTGACTGTCGACACCCACTCACGACCTCCACAATCTCAGACTGACCCCTCCCACTTTCCTCCAAGCTGATCTAGTATGTATTCTGCCCCAGTATGAGATTTTTGATTCCACAGCCAGTCTGTCCAGTGTCTCTGTTCAACTCCCATTCTGTTACGAAGAAAGAGACACTAAAAATGGGCTTCTGTTTGAGAAAAATGGTCAAACAGGCTGACTGGGCTTGTCAACCCCTACCATCTTGTCTTCAGTTCACATGTCAGCCAATGGATTCTAAGCTGGTGTTGTCCGAGTGTCCAAGTACAAAGTATATGGATGCACTGTGGCTGTTCTTGTTCTTAAGCAGGCCATACCGAATCAGCTGGCAGAAACCATTTCCAATGACTTTTCCGTCCATTTTCCCCATGCTTCACACTTTATAAATAAGCAGAAATAGAGTCTATTTGGCCCCTGACTGATTTGATCATAGCTTCTCAACTCAACATTACTGCCTAACCCTCAGCGATCCTTATTAGTCAAGAATCTTAAAAAAAATCTCAACAATATTCAGTGCATTCCCCCATTTTTTGGGGTTGAAAATTCCACAGACTCTTGACCCTCTGAGAGAAAAAGAGTCTCCTCATCCCTATCTTAAATGGGAGGTCCTTTGTTTTTATACTGTGTCCCTTAGTTCAAGTCTCTCCCACAAAGGGAAGCTTCCTTTCAGCATTCACCCTGTGAAGTCCCCTGAAGATTGTTACGTGCTTCAATAAGATTACTACTCATTCTTCTCAACTCCAATGAATAGAGGCCCTAATTTTCTAACCTATTTTAGTAACACTCCCGTTGAGTGAGCCTTCTCCGCACTGCTTCTAACACAATTATGTGTTTTCTTAAATAAAATGATCAAAACTGTAGACAGTACTCCAAGGTGTGATCTCACCAATGCCATTTAAAGCTGTTGCAAAACTTGCCTACTTTTATATTCCATTCCCTTTCAGATAAACAAAAAAATCCATTTGTCTTAATAACTTGCTATACCTGCATAACAACACTTTTGTGTTTCATATACCAGGACACCCCAGATAACCCTTCTAGTTATGCAATCCATTTAAGTCATAGAGTCATAGAATCCTTACAGTGTGGAAACAGGCCCTTCAGCCCAACAAGTCCACACCGACCCACAGAGCATCCCACCCAGACCCATTCCCCAAAACCCACCGAATCTACACATCCCTGAACACTATGGACAATTTAGCATGGCCAATCTACCTAGCCTGCACATCTTTGGACTGTGGGAGGAAACTGGAGCACCCGGAGGAAACCCACCCTAGTACATTGGTTTTCTATTCTTCCTGCCAAAGTGGATAAATTCACATGTTCCGACATTAAATTCCACCTGCTAGTCTTTTGCCCATTCACTTAACCTACCTATGTTCCTTTCACACTCCTATGTGGTCTTCACAACTTCCTTTCCTATCTGTCTTTGTGTCATCAGTAAATCTAGCAACTGTCCATTTGGTCCCTTCATTCAAATCATTAACATAAATTGTAAATAGTTGAATCCCCAGCAATGATCCCTCTGGCACTCCACTCCTCACATCTAGCCAACCCAAAATGACTCATTTATGCCACCTGCCTGCTTCCTGTTCTCCAGCCAGTCCTCTATCCATGGCAAAATGCTGTCCTTTGCACCTTGAGCTCTTTGATGTGACACCATGTCAAATGCCTTGTGAAAATCTAAGTACATCATATCCAAAGGTACTCATTTATCCACATTGCTTATTACTTCCTCAAAGACCTCTAATAAATTGGTTCACGAGGCCATGTTGACTCTCTGCATGATTGCATTGAGGTTTTCTAAGTTCCCTGCTTAACCTCCTTAATAACAGATTCCAGCAATTTCCCTTTGGCAGATGTTAAGCTAGCTGGCCTGTGGTTTCCTGCTTTCTTCGAATATCCTCCAGACATCAGAGTCTTGGTCAACCCTGGAATTAAAGCCTCCCAAAACAATGGTCTTTTCTCTTTCTGAAATGGAAGTGAGGATTGTACCAAGTAGAAGGGGTGGGGGGATCTGGGTTACAGCGGTTGGCTTGATGACTAGAACTACCTAGCACATAATGATTCCAATGACTGGTCATTTCCCATACTGACTGAGAGAGTTCACAGAGTTTGCACACACACTCAACCCAACCCCTTACCCCCCACCACCACGCCCTGACTTGCCGCCCCCCCCACTCCCCACGACACCCCCACCTGACCCCATATTTGCAGCACAATGCCCCTTGAGCTGTATAACATTGTCCTTACTGGGCTATGGCTTATTACCTGAAATTGCCAGTTCTTAAAGTCCTCTTACCCTTTCGTGAAGCATCAGCCATTGCCAGTCTTTGCTTAACTAATGTCAGACGCCCATGGAAAGATTCCTGGAGGCTGAATAGAATTGGCTCAGCTATTGATGTAGTAGTGTCATATATACTTTTATGAGATATGTGTATTTCTCATCACGTAGTTTATACAGATATGTAAGGTTTTGCACTTTTTTTTTGTAGGTTTGAAGTGTTGAGTTTCCTCATGTTGTGCTACAACTCTGCGGTGGTCTCTATGCCCAACTCCTCTTATCGTTCCCTGTGCAATGTGTGCTCAAGGTAAGTTCTGGGAGCAAAGTACAAATAGTGGGGTTTAAGGTTTATTTTAAAGCTTAAAATGTGTGTTTATTTTAAATTTGTCATTCATTTGAGGGGGACAGCACATTTCAAGGTGGCATTGTGGTACAGCTTTGGCGGAGGGGAATATGGTGTAGTGCAGTTGTAGGATGCGTTTGTGCATGGCTGCAGACTCCAACAAGCGAAAGCTGTGGAAAGTATTTTAACAGGTGGAGAATGCAATTAGCAATACTGTATCTGTTAAAGATAGACATTCATTTATATTGCACCTTTCAATACCTCAGACCATCCCAAACAACGTTACAGCCTGTGAAATAAGTGTAGTCATATTGTAATTGTAAAAAAAGGCAGTTTGCAGACAGCAAGATCCCACAAACGGCAGTGTGATAAAGACTGAATAACCTGTTTCAGTGACGTTGGTCCTAGGGGGCCATTATTGACCAGGATACTGGTAAGAATTCCCTGGGGTCTTTGAAATAGTGCCACACAATTTTTTTTACATCCACCTGAGAGGGCAAATGGGGTCTTGGTTTGATGTCTCAACTGAAAGATGAATTTCCCGCAGCCCCTCAGAGCTGCGTTCGCAATGTTGATTTAGTTATGTGATTTAGACTACAAAGTGTGACTTAATTGTTGTGTTGTTGTCAAGGGTGTTACGGGCTAAGAAGAGCAGAGAGGAATGTGGAGTTAAACCTATAATCAGACCAGCCATGATCTTACTGAATGGTAGAACAGGCTTGACGGGCTGAATGGCCTACACCACCTATTAATTTTTGCCTTGGTTGGCACGGTTGGGTGAGGTTTTTATCCTGTCTCCAAGGCCCTGTTTATATTGCAGTCTTGATCCTGCTTTCTGATTTGAACTTGGCATTCAGGTTTTCAAATCAAAGCGATTTCTGGGGGTGAACTGCAGAATTAACATCCACCTTGTGAAGTGATGTGTCAGGGTAATTCAATTTCCATATTTTTGTGAAATGCACGTGGTGGAGCTGCAATGTGAGTATACCTTTGTGCTTGATAGGTGACTGTATCTACAGTACACTGACTGCAATGGTTCAAGAAGGCAGCTTACCACCACCTTATCCAGGACAAAAAGGGATGGACAATAAGTACTGGCCCAGCCAGCAATACCTACATCCCTCAAATAGAATAGAAAAATGATGTATGATTCCAATCCGTACAATATTTTGTCTCCGGTTTCCATAGACTCCAGTTTTGCTTGGGCTCCGCAATGCCACAATGCTGCCTTGAAGTCAACCTTTCCCCACCTTAGTCCCATTGCGTTACTATCCCACAGCCATCCCTGAAAGACTTAACTCCTGAGTCCAAATAAGGGGTTGCCAGAAATCATCCTTTCAGTTGAGACATCGAACCGAGGTCCCATCTACTCTCTCAGGTGGATGTAAAAGATTGCGTAGCACTATTTCAAAGACTCTGAGTTCTTCTTGGTGTCCTGTTCAATAATGGCCCTTTAAGACCAACGTCACTGAAACAGATTATTCAGCCTTTATCTCATTGCTGTTTGTAGGATCTTGCTGTTTGTGAGCTGCCTGTTTTTTTTCTACAATTACAGCAGTCACTACACTTCAAGAGTATTTCATAGACTGTAAAGCTATTTGTGATGGTCTGAGGTGTTGAAAGGTGCAATATAAATGAATGAATGTCTATCTTAAATCCACAGCAATACTGCAGACCAAGTTGCAATTGTTCAAAGTCCTACAAAGTTGGAGATTTTTCTGTAGCGAGTTGGGCTGCATGGTGGTGGAGATGAGACAGCAGGGCATTTGGACTCTGGTTAAGTCTTTCAGGGATAGCTGTGAGGTAGTAACAAAATGGGACTGAGGTGGGGCGAGGTTGACTTCAAAGGCAGCATTGTGGCATTGAGGAGTCCAAGCAAAACTGGAGTCTGTGAAAATTGGGGACAAAATATTGTACTGATTGGAGTCAAACATTTTTTAATTCTCTTTGAAGGATGTAGGTGTTGCTGGCTGGGCCAGCGCTTATTGTCCATCCCTTTTTTGTTCTGGATAAGGTGATGGTAAGCTGTCTTCTTGAACTATGGCAGTCAATGTAGTGTAGATACATCTACATACCTAGTACAAAGAGAGATGGGAGTCAACCATTGCAGCCCCAGGACATCTCTGTAGGAATTCCTCAGAATAGTGTCCTAGCTCCAACCATTTTCAGCTGCTTCATCAATGATCTTCACTCCACAAGGTCACGGTTGGAGATTGTGCAATCATCGGCACACATGTTCAGCACCAATTGTGATTCTTCAGATATTGAAGAAGTCCACGTACAAAAATTGCAAGACCTGAACAATAATCAGATTTGGGCTGATAAGTGGCAAGTGCCAGGCAGTGCTCGTCTCCAATGAGAGAATCCAGCCATCTCCTCTCGACACTTAATGATATTGCCATCATTCAGTCTCCAACTATCCATATTCTGGGGTTTAGCATTGACCAGAAACTGAACTGAATCAACCATACAAATACTACAAGAACAGGCCAAAGGCTCAGAATTCTGTGGCAGGTAACTCATCCCTCGATTTGTCAAGGCCTATCCGCTTTTTATAAGGCATGTGTTATAGAACTTGCTTCAATGCGTGCAGCTCCAACCACACACAAGATGTTTGACGAGGAAATAGCCTAGTGGTATTATCACTAGGCTGTTAATCCAGAGACCCAGGAAATGTCCTGGGGATAAGATAACAAGGTGTAGAGCAGGCCAAGCAGCATCAGAGGAGCAGGAAGGCTGACATTTCGGGCCTAGACCCTTCCTACTATCTCTGATACAAATGTCCTGGGGATCCAGGTTCAAATCTCACCATGGCAGATGGTAGAATTTGAATTCAATAAAAATCCGATTCTCAGAAATGCCCATTTGGTTCACTGACGTCCTTTAGGGAAGGACGTCTGCCATCCTTACCCAAGACCCACAGCAATGCGGTTGATTCTCAACATCCCTCTGGGCAATTAGGGATGGACAGTAAATACTGGCCAGGCCAGCGATATCCATGTCCTGTGAATGAATTTTTAAAAAAAACTATGCGTGACAAAGCAGCTCGATTTGATTAGAACCCCGTTCATGTTCAACAATCACTCCCTTCATCTCACACACATGGTGTCAGCAGTCTACACTGTCAACAACGTGCACTGCATCAATTCATCCTTTGAGAGCACCTTGTGAACTCTCACCCTCTATCCTGTAGAAGGACCATGGCAGCAGCTACGTGCAAGTTCCTCTCTAAGTTTCATGCCATCCTGCCTACTAAATATATTCGCCGTTCCTTGCTGAGTCAAAATCCTGGAACTCCTTTCCCAACAGTACTGTGTGTGGCCCTACACCTTAAGGACTGCAGTGGTTTAAGAAGGTGGCTCATAATCACCTTCTCCAGGGTGATGAGGGATGGGCAATCTATACTGGCCTAACCAGTGGCACGCACAATCCCATGAATCAATCAAAAAAGAAGTCCCCGAGGACACAAGAATGACAGGGAATGGCCACTCCGTTTACTGTGAAGTTGTGAAATTCATTGTGAGTGCTGCTGGTGTGGAATCCTAATTGCTTGTAACAGGTCTCAATCTTCAACTGAATCAGCATTGCAACCAGAGATGTTCAGGATCCGTATTCTATTGGGCTAAGCCACTCACTTTATGAACCAGAGGGGCCTAATATACAAATCTTTCCTGAACTGTGGTTTCTATTGTGGGTTAAAATTTCAGTGTTTCGTAGCCACAGCGGAGTGCTCCATCTTGGTAAGATGCCATTTGCTAATATCTGCCTGTTCTTCCACCATCAGATTGTGTATTGCTGGTTTTCCACGACAGAGGCAGAAGCTGTGGAGTGAGACTTGTGGCCGGGTTATGCTGGACCCAGAGTTCATGGTGCAACTGTTGACGGGTGTTTATCATACAATGTGAGTACAGAAAATGAGGGATATGCTTGGTTTTGTCAGATACTGTGTCAGCTAGTCATCACTGCCATTACCATCAGTAAATCCAACAGTATAAGTACTTCCTCTGTGTTGACCGGCATTGTTATGGGCCAGTGTTCATGTTGTCCTGTACAGAGCAGAGAAGGCCATTCGGCCCCTCGAGCCTGCTCCACCACTCTGTATAAAGATCATGCTTGATCTGATTGTAATTTCGGATCCGTGTTCCTGCCTACCCCTGATAACCTTTCACCCCTTGCTTAACTAGAATCCATCTTCTCCTGCCTTAAAAATATTTAAGGACTCTGCTTCTGCTGCCTTTTCAGGAAGAGGGCTCCAATGACTTATGACCCCCTGTGAAAATGTCTTTTGTGTTTTAAATGAGCAACTCCTGCTTTTTAAACAGGGATCTCTAGTTCTAGGTTCTCCCACATTAGGAAACCTTCTCAGCACATCCCATCCTGTCAAGGCACCTGAGGATTAAATAAGCTGTAAGCAAGTCATCTTTTACTCTTCTGAACTTCGATGGAGTTACGTGGAGTGTCAAGGTGGCTTGACCTCACGAGACTTTAGCTGGAATCCCCAGTAACCAGGCCCCTACTCCTGAATGGCGCCACACTGCCTTTCGCTTCTCGCAGTCACAGGTCTCAGCCAGTTCAACGTGCCCAGTTTCATCCTCTGGGGGGAAATGTTGCAGCACAAAATGAGGCCATTAATCCTTGTCTCCATCTCCTCTTCTCACACAGTCCCCAGAGACCAAGGTTGACTTTATTTCCCACACTGGAGTTTGTTAGGCCCTGGGCTGACTAGATAGTCTAATGCAGGATCTGCACACTCTGCCGTAGATGGGATAGGTGATAGTTTGAAGAGGGGACTGGGTGGGAGACTCCGGTTTTCACGCAATCCTTCCGCTGTTTGTGATTGGCCTTCACTTGGGCCTGTCTGAGATACTCGAGGTGAATCATGAATCCTTGCAAGAGCAGCCAGCCTCATCCCACTTGCTCTGCAAATGTATTTCTCTTCCAGGAGTTATCCAATTATGCATAACAAATTGAAAGTTGAGGTTGATTCCATCGCACTCGGAGTGGATTCCCAATCCTAACCGCTTACTATGTGAAAACATTGCCTCTTGCTACCTTTTGGTATTCACCTTCTAAGCTGATGTCCCTGTTCTCATTCCATTTGCCAATGATGTCCTTCAGAGCCTGCTGAAAAGGGGGCACATTCAACTTCCAACAAGACCTAGGTTTACCTCAAAGGGATCGCTGTCACTCCTTCCTCTGCCGGTGGGTTACATGTTGTGTTGATTGGGTGGTGTGGAGTAGTGGAGGGCAATAAAGTGCAGGGAAGGGTTTGAGTTGGTGGAGCTTGGTCTGCCAGTAGTGAGTCTGATCTTGAAGATTTCCTCCTTTTTTTTTTCATTTTTCTGCAGATACAACGGAGAGTGGGAGCTGGGCCAAGAAGCACTAGAGGACCTCCTGTATCGTGCACAGTTAGAGCTGTATTCTCAGCCACTGCTGGTAAGTCCATTATTATTGTGAAACCCACAGCACAGCCCCATTTGGGTGCTGTAGAACTGTAGTTCTTCATTGATCTTCATTCATCTGAACTGAGGTAATGAAGGTGCTCCAGAAATGCAAGTCTTTTTTTCTCCCATTACAGGGCTGTCTGTTTGCACTAATGCTAATCCCAGTTTAAACGTGTACCTGAAGCCATGGTACATGTGACGTGAATGAACGGTGCTTCTTTGTTAACCTATGCTCTCTGTTCCAACCTTAACTTTGTTTTCCTTACAGGTTGCTAACGCGATGAAAAGCTCATTGCCCTTTGATGCTCCTGACGTTTCCAAGGTGGGTAGGAAGTGTCTGAAGGTAGAAGTGACACCAACAGTACCCAGGATATCTCGCACTGCCATCACCACGGCCTCTATACGAAGGCATCGCTGGAAGAGAGAGGGTAAGCAGGCAGCAAAGTTGGTCTTGGCACTACTTTGAATGCAGGACATTAATTTTCTACCACTTCCTGCAATATTGCCTTCTGCTGTATCAGGAATGGGAATGCTGGGCTGCTGCCCTTTGTTTATTTAAAATACTAAATTCCACTTTCTGTTAATTTGTAAGCAAAGCCTCCCAAAGTAGCACAGGCACCCTTCCGCCTGAGCAAAGCAGCGGCAGGATCTGTGTCTCGTGCCAGCATTACCATTGTTCTGATCTGCATTGTCTTTCCTCATTGCTGTCTGGTCTGTTGTCTCTACCCACCCCTATCCCGTGTAATGTTCACACTCTTTCCCCTCCACTTCCTCCCCTTTCTGGATGGGGGAAGCACTAAATGTTTTATGTTGAATCCCAGATTGTATAGACCTCACGGTTGATGTTGAGTCAAGTGGCCCCACCTCCCTAATTTGTGACTCATCTGGATTGGCTGGAGAACGCGAGTGGAATGGGGAGGGCACACGAGTATCCCCCTGGCTCGGTAAGCGGGACCCCACGTCAGTGACAACAACGGGTTGGCCTGAGATGAGAAGGGAGAGATCAGTGAGGACGCTGGAAGACAGCCTGTGTCTATTTGTTTCCCTCCCTCCTCCATCCAGCACGGCTGCCATCCTTCCCAGTGGCTGAACCCACTACTCTGGGGTGTGCTGATGCATTGCCTCTTACCCAGCCAACGCGAGCAGCAGGTCAGGTCGTATCATTGTCATGCTGTGCTGTTGCTGGCCCAGTTTTCCCTTCTTTGCACTCAGCTGCTGGGATGAGCAAGCATGGCGAAGGGACAGTCCAACACTCTGGTTTGAAGGCTCTCCAATCAGGTTGCTCTTGCTGACTGACTGCATGCTTTTCCCCGTCCTGCATCTCATTCCCCTGAGCCTCCTCAACCGTGCCGGTCCATTTCTGGGAGTCTGCGGATTGCTGAGACGGTTCTGGCCTGGCTTTCCATTGTTGCACCAGTATTACTGCTGTTGTCTTGTCATTAACAATGAGGAACACATTGCAATATCAACAAGAACATCTGTTTTTTAATAAGGTTGTTGAGGTGCTGAGTGAAGTCAGTGATTTGACCTGTCCTTCACCCTAAACTGTCCTTTCCTAATCCTTCCCCCACCTCTCTCTTCCACTTTCTGCCCACTCCCTCCTACACTTACCTTTCCAACGTCCTCATGGTGGATACACTTCCAGACTCATTGGAGACACACACACTCAGTCCACCCCCAGACCAGGATATGGCCACACTGTGAGTATTGGCAGAAAATTCAGCTGGGCCTTTTACAGCTTGATCCCTCTGAGCAATGTTGGCTACTCCAGCCTGCAGGAGTCACCGGGCCGTGATCAGGAGCTGCAATCCCAGTTGATTACCTCCCTCAAACCCCCTCTCAGGCCAAGGTTGTGCTCCAGAAATCAGCAGGGACTGAATGTCGAACTTTTTTATTGTGCATTGTGGGTTCAATCTGTCAATAATTCACAGAGATGTAGGTGATGGAGATCAAGTGAGATGAAGAAAAGTTGTTAGGTGGGGAGGCGGGTGACAACCAGTGATTGGGACAGAGATGAGTGCTGGGGCAGTGTGGTGCCGGGGGGGTGGGTGCTAGTGCCGGGTCAGTGTAGCGCCAGGGGGCGAATTACTAGTGCGTCACAGGACAGGCACGCTGATGGCAACCTGAACCCCCCACCCCATCTTTTTTTTTCTTTTGCTGCTCTGATTGAACCTGCAGCACACGTTTGAGGATTTCTTTGCTACAGATGCTTTCAGTGAAATGTCATTCATTTTAAAACCTTGGCTTCACGATATTTCCCTAAGAATTAATTACGCTTCTCCATTTAATAGGAGTGGTGACAGGTTTAGAAGTAAATGTTACATTTCAGTTCCCTATCAGGCTACTGGAACTAGGAGTGTTTGTAAAAGCTCGCAGCCTGCTACCCTTTGAATCAGATTCCTGCTGTTGCTGGATGTGGAGGCTGCAGTTTTTTTACTTTGATATGGAATGCCTTGCTGCGTGCCTGTATATGTGTGCTTCTCTTCACTGTGCTGTGTACTACTTTTAGATTGAATGCATGGACAGAATATAGAACTGCTGAGGCGAATTGCTTTATTCTGGCTCTGTGCTTTGTTCCATCTTTTCAATGTTGCAGTGTGTGTTTAATCAGATGTTAAGATGCTTCTGAATATTCATTGTGTTATAGACCTCCTAGAAACAGCTAAAGTTTGATCTAAAGCTAAGTACTTGCATCAAACTGAGTTTATCTGCACCAGAGCATCAACCTGGGCTAGAGAGGAAATGTACTCCTTTTGGATTTGACTGCTATTACGAGGACTGAACTTTTAATGCAAACAAAATCTTTCAAAAATGTTTTATTTTAAACTTCCCTCCAATTTCAACTTGGAAATAATTACCTTCATTGCATCCACACTGAAAACGTTGAACCGCTGGACTTCAATTTTACTTCCCTTGGACTTCCAGAAAACATTTAATCAAGTGTCACATGAAAGGTTTCAAATTAACCTTAAAGACCAGATTCATATTTATATAGCACCTATCATAATCTTAGGAGATCACAGAGCATTTTAAAAGAGTGGTGACTGTAGTAATATTGGGAAATTTGCAGCCAATGTGCACACAGCGAGCTCCCTCAAACTGCTACATGATAAAGACAAAATAATCTGTTTTAGTCATGTAGGCTAAGGAGAAAAAAAATTGGCTACGATATCAAGGACTGCTTCTCTTTTCCAAAGTAGTGCCATGGAATGTTTTTACACCACTTAAGGGCAAATTGGGCCTCGCTTTAAAGTCTCATCTGATCTGACAATGCAGCATTCCCTCAGTACTGCACAGAGGCATCAACCTTGTTGTGGGCTGAAGTAGAGTTTGAATCCGTGGCCTTCTGACTCCGTGTGTCTGCTTCTGGCCTTTACCCTGTAATGTGTTCTGAAACTGTGCACCCCCCACCCCACCGCGCCCCCCCAAACATCTCCTTTCAGCTTAGTGACCTGGAACAGGATATGTCTTGAGGTCCCTTGACTCATGAGTACAAAACTCTGTTTCTGCCTATAGGATAACACCTGACATTTGAGTCCCTTCACTTGCCTATATCAGCTGTACGTATTAATTATCAACCCCCTTGAGCATTTTTTCAATCATAAATTCATCAACTGGACCATTGCTAGGTTTAGATGCTCTTCATTCTTATGAGATGTGGGTGTCGCTAGCAAGGCTGGCCTTTTATTAACTTTCCCTAGCTGCCACTGAACTATTGCTTCTCCAAGCCTTTCACGGGGCAGTTAACAGTCGACCATGTTTCTTCATGTCTGGAGGCAAGTGTAGGCCAGAGCGGACAAAACTGGCAGATTTCCTTCTCTAGAGGACATTAAAGATCTTAGGAAAACCTCACTGGTTGCATGGCTGACTTGTAACTGCTTCTGTTGATGACTGCTCTTGATCAGTCACAATCTGACATCCCAGGGCCATCTGTTGTGGAGGTATTTCTGTCTTTTCTCCAAATCTGAATTAACACTGCCCAGTGTGTAGGGTCTGCCTGAGTGCTGGATCCGAACAGATCCTGTCCCCAAAATAAACAGGCCATCGAGGAACAAGTTCAGCCCGGTTTAGGTAGGTGCCTCAGAATGAGTGAGCCCATGATGTTCCACATGTGATGTTCTCGCTCCTCTTGTGTGTCCCCAGTGCTCCACCATTGACAGCTGTTACTTCAGCTGCTTAGGCCTTAATTTCTGCAAACCCCTTCCATAAATATTCGGTCCCTCCGAACAGATCCCGCCCCAAAATAGAGAGGCCATCAAGGAGGCAGTGTGAACCAGACTCAAGCTGCACTGCAGCATACAGAAGCCTGAACACACACAAAAGCAGGTTCAGGAACAGCTTCTTTCTGGCCATTATCACGATTGTTGAATGGACTCGCCTCAAATAATGTAACCTGTATTCCTCTAAGTCTTTTTGATCTGTACATCCTTTGCTTGCTGTGATCTACCTGCACCGCTTGTAAATAAAACTTTTCACTGTAGTTCGGTACACGTTACAATAAAATCAATGAATCAGCATCTTGCTGAGACTCCTTTGACAGAAACTCCCAAACTAGTGAGCTCTACCAACTGGGAGGACAAGAGCATTAGACACATAGGAATGTCACCCCCTGTAAATTCTTCTCTTAAACCACTCAGCACCCTCACTTGGAAGTATATTGGTGTTCCTTTAGTGTCACTGGGTCACAATCTTGGAATTTCCTTCTTAACAGCATTGTATGTCTATCTACAGCACATAGACTGTAGCAGTTCAAAGAGGCAGCTCTCCGCTACCACCTCCAGAACTAGTAGGAATGGCTTTATAACTGTTGGCCTTGGTAAGTGATGCCCACAACGCAGGAAACAGTTTTTTTTTTAAACCCTCTTTCCTTCCCCCTTTAAGGTACACTTTAAAACTGACATCTTCTGCCAACTTGGCTTAGTGTCAAATTATGTTTAATAAAATTTTGCCCTTCAGATATTTCACCCTATGAAGGTGTTATATAAATGCAATTTATATTGTCCTTCTAGATCCATTCACTATTTTAAACTTGATGATGAAACAAAGAAACAGGAGGTCATTCTGCCCATAGTGTCTTTCTCACCATTCAGTTATATCATTGCTAATCTGTACCTGAATTCAATTTATTCATCTTAATTCCATATCCCTTGAGACCCTGATCCAATTAAAATTTAGCTACCTTAATCTTGAAAATTTCAGTTGACCATCTGACCTGCCCAATCTTAGGAGACAATGTTCTGTGGTCTATTGTGAGATAATGTTCCCTAATTTCACTCCTGCCACATCCACCTTTGAACCTCATCCCCTTCCACATTGATAACTGGCCCTCTGTGATATTATGTGGTCTGTGTGTGTCTCAGCAATGGAGTCATTGGGGGGTGTGTGTGTGTGTTGAGCTCTGGAGTGTGTATACCTGAGTGTTAGCATCAGTGGACTGTGTGTGTGTGTGCACGCATGCCTGTGTATTGGCCTCAGTGGAGTGTGTGTGTGTGTGTGAGAGATCATTTGGGGACAGTGGAGCGTGTGTGTGAGTGATCGTTTGGGGACAGTG